CCAAAAGAATTATGAAAGCTTGGAAATGTTTTGCAACTCTATACCAGATTAAAATGAGGTATAAAAATGGAGTCAAGAATGATATTGACAAAATATCAGGCTAGCATACTGTCTAGATAATGGGTTTTCAATCTCCTAGGAAAATAATACATTATTCTAATTATGCATATTTATGCTTTAATGGGAACACATCGTGTAAGAATGAACAAGATCCTTTAACATCAGAGCTGGTAGGGAGGTAAGAAACTATCTAGTTCAGCCTCCTTTCACTGAGGAAATTGAATTTTTAAAAGATTAAATGATTTGTGTAGTTCATACACTTCATGAGCAGCACAATGTCTCCTGTATTTTTTCTGTACCATGATATCTATGTAACCAAGGAAAAATGTTTTTGAGTTGTTAAAAGTAAAATGTCTTATACTGAAAGATACTGCTCCCACATGCCAACAAATAAGAATTTAAGGAAAAACATGTGGTAAGGAAATGACCTAAAAGGAATCAAACATTGAGTGGTAGCAAAATAAACATGTTTCAGTGTGTACCACAGATTTCATGAAGGATAATGACAGTCTCTTCCTTGTTTCTGCAGTCAGCTGTGAAGAGACAGGTTTAAGTCTCAATAGGAGAGATTGAGATTCAGTTATAGAGGAAAACTCCTTAAAGTGAAAGTATAATAGGGCTAAATGATTTCCTGAAAGTTTATAAAAAAGGATAGGCATCCATCTATTATTTAATTATGCTAAATCACTGCAGAATTCAGGGAAAGGTCTGTAAGTTAAATGAAATCATTAGGTAAATCAAGCTTTTAACATAGGCCATTAAGCTACAAAAGCAAGGAAAGTATTTGTATTATTTAATTTAGAATCCAGAATCCCTAGGGCATCCTCTTGATGGGGTGGGAAGTTGTTGTTACAAATCGCCAAGGTCCAGGATTTTGGTGGCGGCATAAAAAAGTTTGTTTTTCATTTTTTACCCCACAAGGGTCTAAATCTGTTTTTAGTGACCTTGAAAACTCTAAGACTGAATTACTGAATTCAATTCAAGACTGCATTAGTGAATCAGTGATTAAACAAAATTTTTTTTAACAAAAATCATTCTTTTCATTTTTTAGTAGACACAAGAAACAATCTTTCATTTTATCACTTACCAGCTGTGTGAGTTTGGGCAAGTTTTGGAAACTCTAAGTGCCTCAGCTTTTTCATTAGCAAAATACTGATAATAATAGAATATATCTCAAAACTTATCATAAGAGATGAGTTAAATGTTAAGAGCTTAGAGTAAGAGAGTTTATATCTAATTTATTTTATTATACTTCGAAAATTTAAAAATTGTCAAGGATTATATGAAGCTGATCTGAATCATAAAGACAGTTTAAGAACTCTAAGCCAAATATTAGTGAATAAAGCAGCAATAAATGAATATTTATACACATAAATATATGTATGTATGTATATTTATGTGTATAATATGAAAGGCTATAAACATTAGAAGTTCTAATAATTGATGACATTAATAAAGGAGAAAAACCACATATATATCTCAACAAATGCAGAAAAATCCTTTAATTCAACAACCATTCATGATAAAAATTCATAGCAAGTTTGGATTAGAGGGCACTTACTAAACTTATAAGAACTGCTAAAAGATATCTAATCAAATATTTATAGCAAATATCACAGTAACTGATGAAATGTGGAAGCAAGCTCCTTAAGTTTAGAAACAAGAATGCTTATTCTCTCCATTTCTGTAGTAGACTAACAGTCTACTGAAAGTCGTCGTCGTCTTCTTTTTTTTTTTTTGAGACAGAGTCTCACTTTGTTGCCCAGGCTAGAGTGAGTGCCGTGGCGTCAGCCTAGCTCACAGCAACCTCAAACTCCTGGACTCAAGCAATCCTCCTGCCTCAGCCTCCCAAGTAGCTGGGACTACAGGCATGCGCCACCATGCCTGCTAATTTTTTTCTCTATATATTAGTTGGCCAATTAATTTCTTTTTATTTATAGTAGAGACGGGTCTCGCTCTTGCTCAGGCTGGTTTCGAGCTCCTGACCTCGAGCAATCCACCTGCCTCAGCCTCCCAGAGTGCTAGGATTACAGGCATGATCCACCACACCTGGCCTGAGAGTCTTGCTAATATTTTGGACTAGCATAATCACTACTCCCCAGGAGATTATTAGAAATTCAGGCTTTCAGGCCCTGACCTGCTACTGAACCAGGATCTTCATTTTAATAAGATTCTTCAGTGATTCATATATATATTCAAAATTTGAGAAGCATTGGCTTAATTAGTATAGCAACACAATAAATATTTTTGTAAAGTGGTATAAAATGTAGAATATACAAATTAGAATGGAAGAAACAAATTTTTTTTCTTATTCACAGATGGTACAATTGTCTACATAGAATACCTAAAAGAATCAGAAGAAAAATTAAAAGTGCAACAAAGTTTGTCAAGTTTTCTTGATATTTGAACAACAGAAAAATTATTAGATTTTTATATAATTGTAGCAAGCATTTAGGAAATGTAACTTAGAAAATTGTTGTCATTTTACAATGGCAACAGAAGTATACAGTGTATATGAATAAAAGATGTTTAAGATCATTATAACAAAATTTATAAAATTTATAAAACATATTGAAAAAAGAGACAATGGAAAGATATGCCATGATTGTAGATAAAAAGATATTAATAATATCCTGAATATATCACTTTTTCTTAGATTGATCTATAGCATCAATGAATTTAAATCAATGCCATGGTAGTTTATTTCAAAGGAACTTAATAAGCTGTTTTAAAAAAAAATTTTATGGAGGTGATAAAGACAAGGAATAGCTAAGACATGACTGAAGAAAAACAGATCAGGCAGAGGGAACTCCCTGCCTGATATTGATTATTATAATGTATAGAAATTAAGACCAGGTGGTTTGGGGACACAGATAGGAAAAAATAAGCAATGGAACAAATGAGAATGCTAGATACAGACCAACAGTACTAAGAAATACAATGCATGTCAAAGGTAGCACTAAAAATCAATCATAAAAAGAGAGAGAAAAAAGAGAAAAATAGGCAAAATTTGGACAGAAATTTATTAAAAAATCATGAATGACTAATAATCACATTTTTAATGCTCAGATTTATTAGTTATCAGGGAAAAATCAATACTAAAATTAGTGTTGGATTATAAACACTAGATTGAAAAAGTATTTGTCTGACAAAGAAAGAAGCACTTAGGACAGCTTTTTACAAACTATGTATGAACATATGTCCCACTTCAATACCCATTGAGGATTACTAAATTTTACACACATATATGACATACATATACATACACACGTATATATACAGTCATTCAAGATTAAAATATGATAAACATTTCCTGAATTGCTTAAAAACTATTGCCTGTGTATTCATCATGTAAAATGTTAAACTCTTTCAATGTTTGAACATAATATTTATTGAGAAATGAGGAAAATGATTAAATTTCTAGATTTAATATAGTTAATCTTATTTATAAAGGAAAGAAATAATACCAGCTTTATGACCGGGTAAGTAACTGAGCCTCACTGAGCTTTGGTCTCCTCACTAGTAAAATGAGTCTCGAAGGAGCATATACCTCACAGGATTATAACATTTAAATGTGTTAAAACACTTGAGCTACTTAGAGCAGTGCCTTGTTCCCAGCAAGTGACCTAGGAGTGTTAGCTATTGCTATTCATGTTATTCACATTTAATCTGTTTTAAGATTAATCTGTTTTAAGATTTAATCTGTTTTAAGATAAATCATGCTTCAGAAAATGATGTCAATGTAATGACCATTTCAAGCAATCTAAGTTGCTTTTGTTCTTGATGGCATTTTATACCTTTAAAGTTTCCAATAAAAATATAATGCTAACACCATTTATAATAGTAAAACAGGGAACAAGTATCTTTCATGACAATTAGAATATCTACATGTATTAGTTAAATAAATTTATTATTTATTGTTTCCACTTCCATTGAAATGTGCCTGAGTAATCATTTTATGAATGGCTTCCTACTTGGTCCAGTATTTTTAGCAGGTTTTAATTCTCAAGCATTCAAATTGGATGTGCTAGAATTTGGCTCCTATTAACTCATGATTTTGCCCTAGTGATTACTTTCTCTTATCAGATTGAATAAATATGTGTATTATTTATACTAGTGGCAAAACAGTGATTTCAGTTTTGCAAGGCAAAATGATATTTGCTCTCTGTCATCTTTCTTTAGCTAAAAACAAAATGCAATAATAAAGCATGCTTAGATATTTTTGCTGTCTGAACAACTCTTTAACTCCATCCCTTATTGCCTGGATGAGTCATGATGAAAACCACAGATACATATTGTTAATGTTCTGTTGTGTCAGTTCCGGGCTGTGCATTGTGGTAGTTGCCCCAGATGAGGGGGAGCAGGACATGATCACCCACATCAAGGATGCTATATCAATTTAAGAAGACAGAACTAAAAGACCCCAAACAATAGTGAGCAATACCAAATAGTTTCAGGTCAACCACAAGTCTAATAAAAAATAAGAGAAAAGGAGGTGAGGAAGGCAATGGTTGGGGAATGTTTTATGGCTGAAGTGGGAATTGCAATGGACCTTGAAGAAAAATAGAATTTTTGTAGGTCAGTTAACCCCAGTTCAGGCATTTGATTACCAGCTTCATGATTTTGCAATATTCACATGTCTACTTCATGATTTTTTTTTATATCTATATTATTTATTTAAAAAATTCTGACATAGATTAATTTTTTAAAAACCTAGATAACTTAAAGAAGAAATTTTATAGCACTATTATAAATGGAAAGTCAGTACTTCTTGCCATAAAAAAGGGAAAGGTATCTGAAAATAAACACAGTATAAACAGAACAACTTTATTAGTTTCTATCCAGATAATGTTGACTTCCAACAGCTCTGGGCTAGGGGCCAGTTGTGTCTTTGTTTAAAAAAGATATTAAGCAGGTATTAAGTAGTGTTAGTGACTTACTATTACAAACGAGACTTTCTTCTGTCCTTCCTTCCTCCCTACCATCCTTTTTTCGTCCCTTCATATCTTCTTTCCAAACTTCCTGCTTCCTTTTCTGCCTCTCTCACTTCTTCCATATTCCTCCACATTCCTCTCTCCTTCTCTTCCTCTGTCCTTCTTTTACATATATTTTTTGAGCACTTCTTACTGCCAGGTATCATCTTGGGCACTGTGGATGGAACAGTGAAGAAATAGACAAAAGCTCTCTTGCCCTCATAGAACTTAAATTCTTGACAGAAGAAGTCAATAAACAGAGAAATAAGAAAGGATGCAGTAGGCATAGATGCTGTGAAGAAAAATGCAGCAGGGAGTGTCAAGGTAGAAAGAAAAGCATGGACAGGAAAGGATTACTGATAAAGTGACTTATGAACAGAGATCTGAAGGGCAGGGTGGAACCAGCCATGCAGATACTTAGAGGAAGAGATTCTCTGGCATTGGGAACAGTTAGAGCAAAGGTCGTGAGGCAGAACATTCTTAGCATATTCTGGAGAAGTGAGTGGGTGAGGGAAGAGTGGCCTGAGAAGAGGTCAGATCCAGATGGCTTGAAGGAGGTTGGTAGTGATTAAATCACATAGACATGTGAAAGACATAGCAAGAATTTGACTGACCCTAAGTGAGATGGGATGCCATTGGATGGCTGACAGCAGGAAGTAATGCAATGTGATCTAATTACTGTTTTTGTAGACTAACTCTGATATGTGGAGACTAAACTGGATGAGACAAAAGTATAAGTAAGAAAACTGGTTAGAGGAGTAGTGCTATTATCTAAGAGAAAGATGATAGACTAGCACTGGGGAAGCGCAAGAATTAGTCAGAAATATTGGATTTGTTGGAGTAAAGCATACCTATACCTCATTACATAAAAAAACAACAACAACAACAAAAAAAAACAAAAACAAACCTCTATGTCAGTACCTAAGTATTTATGACTTATAAATGAGGCTGTTCTCCCTGCCCCATGTTTGTTACCAGTGACCAGCAATCATGCCTTATTCATCTGTAATCTTTAGTGTGCTGACGCCATGTCTGACAAAAGTGCTTAAAAGTTTCATGGAACTGATTCTCAATGAATGCATGAAAGAAAGGCACAGAGGCAAGAAGGCTCATGGTAGGTATTAAGACCCATGTGGGAAGAGCAGAAAGGCCATGAGCATTGTGGAAAAGTGCCTCTCAGGGAAACTGAGGCTCACATTAGAATGTGTTTCATATGAAAGAAGGAGACCTAAGAGAAGTATAAGAGGAAAGTAAATTTAAGATGATGGGATAGAGGCCACATTTCATGGGATTCAAAGAAAAATTCAATGGGTAGGAGTTAAGAAAGGACTCAAGATTTACTACGAACTTTTATTTTTAAATCAATAAAACCTTCTTAAGTCCTTAAATTTCAACTACCAATTCACAGAATAATGTCAATATTTTGATTATTTTGCTGCTTTAAGAGATGCAAAAGAGCTGTCCATAAACAATGAAATATTTGTATGTATTAGAAACTACTCAGTTTCAGATACTAGCATGGAAATTGTTCTTGTAGATATACTATGAACATTTACATTCCTGAGATGAAGAGACATGGAGGCATCATAAAGGTTTACCATGATTAACTAGGTATATTTCAAGGAAGCCAAAGAAACTATAGGGGATCATTACTCAAAAATCTCCACTGCAAAATAAACAGGAAACAAAGGCAGAACTGGGACAGCAATGGAGAATGACGTGCCACTGAGAATGGGGGAAGGGGAGTTAAGGCAGGAAGACCTGGGGAAAAAGTGGCTGGAGGGAGCAGAAGGTGTCCTGTGTCTACAGAAATGTGTTCCTATGTTGCGTCAGAGAGACTTGACTCATCTTGCATGAAGTAGCCAACTCAGAATCAAAATGGAAATAGATGCATGACTGCCCAGAATCTTGCTGGTAACATGGGGACCTCAAGCCTGGTATGGAGGAGAAACAGAGCCAACAGTCATTTTTGCAGGTTAAAAGACAGAATGTTTGTTTGTTTGTTTGTTTTCCTAATCCAGGTCATCCTCATCTCTTACCTTCACTTATAGACATGGCCTCCCACTTGGCCCTGCCAGTCAACACTTGCCCCTCAGCACTCCATTCTTCACCAGCCAACACTGGCCTCTAAGTTCTTTTTGAGTAAATATCAAATATACTCTTTGCCCATTTTTGCCAAATATTCTCTTTTCCCATCTTCCAACACTCCACATTCCATGACTTCCTGGTTAATTCTTTCAAAGTTGCCTTTTCTAACACTATCCTCATCAATCCCATTTCTACAATTGATCCCACTTCATCAATCCCACTTCTATAATTACGTTTATATTATCCTTTTATTTGATCTGAGGCACCTTCCAACTCTCTGTTATAATACTTGATACACTTGTAATTCTAGATCTGTCTTTCCCAGAAGGTAGAAAAGTATCTGGTACATAGTAAACAGTTAAATATTTGATCACCATTAAAGGGTGAATGTTGACTATTGATGAACTTGAAGATATGAAGACAGTAGCTGATCATTTATGGACAATGTAAAAAGTTTTTACATTAATTTACATTTCAAATAAGGTGTAGCTGGCTGTCAGATACATTAAACAGAGTTCTGAATGAATAGAAAAAGCTTTCCTTGAGATTAAAAGAAAAGTAAACTTTGGAATTATTATAGAACATTGTATAACTTCCTGTATTTACAATTTAGAAAAATAAATACTAGGAGTGCAAAAGCCTCATCATACATAAATAAATAATAAAAAAATATATTACACTTGAACCAAAACAGAGCTAATGGAAAGTATACTTGTGAATCAGTTCAGCTCCTTAGAAGAAAAAAAAATTAAAATTTACTTGGAATAGTCCATTGAATGACTATCATTTAAATACTTATTCTTGAACTAAGATTAACCATATAGAAATGTGAGAAAAATTAAATTTAAAAGGGTGTTTATTTGAAGTGTACTTTTAAAGCAAGTCTTATGAATCAAGGCAAATAGTCACATACGTATGCTCATGGTACTGGAGTGCACTTTATTCTCCTATAAACCCAAGACTTAGAGACAGTTGCTAGCCACACACAAACAGCCTCACTACCCACTGTTTTACACAAATGGCAATTGAGTAGCTGGCGAGGTCGATGTCCCCAGTCCTGAGCTACTTCCGGGTATGTGCCAGATGTTTAAGCTGCACAGTAACTTACTCATTTAGGCCACCAGAGTAACTCTTAATGTACCAATGCTGTAATTTGAGAAGACCATTTTATTTCCAAGAGAGCTAGAGAAATCAGTAGCAATTTTTAACACTTGCTGTTATTAAAGTGCGAATTCCAGGCAAAGAATCTTATGGTGCAGTGAAATTGCTTATGCCATTTCACATTAACGAGCTACAAGATGTAATTCTGAAATGCCTGCCATTTTCAGTGCATTACACGTGGAGAACTTCCTCAATTTACAGAGGGGCTCTGCCACTACAGAGTTAAGAGTGTTTCTGTTAACCTGAGTAAGAATTATCCTTAAAATAGAAAAATTCAGGAATGGAACAACATTGACTTTCTAAGATTCACAAGGCAGGCAGTCTAGAAAAAGTTTTTAGCCTTGAAACAGAACATCTTCTATCATTGTTAGTATGAATATTTATGAAGCACTGTCAGTTGGTTTAACTCAGTCCCTGCTCAATTAGCTTATAATTTAATTAGTCCTAAATGCAAATCTTCTAAATTGGGGTATGTGGCTTTTGAAATGAATGTCACCCAATGCCATTATCAATGGCTTTTTATCTTTTGCTTCTCTCTCTCTCTCTCTCTCACTCACTCATTCACTTCTCTTCCCCTCTTACCTTATTTTACATTTTGCTCACACACACCTGCTCCCCAAACTGAAAAGATGTAAATCAAAGTACACCTGCAAAACCAGAAGCCTTGTGGTCCACACAGAGCTTTAAAATCTATCCTAGTGTTTTGTACCTTAACATTGTAGACATATTTTGTAAATTATTATAATCTAACACAATTTATACAGTTACCAAATATCAGTTTTGAACCATTAAAACATTTCTAGGATATTTATGCAACTTGAACTCTAAAATGGAGTTCTCTGTTTCCATTTGAATTTCACATGACTGGATTTCCTATACAGTCTCTGAGAGAGCTTCATATCTGCCCTAGGGTTGGTCCATTGCATAGGGTTTCTTACAAGATTAGGTGGTGCATCTTATTCTGCACTAAATTCTTTCTTGGAAGACCTCAGTTGTATTAAAATCACAGAGGGTCGCTCACTAACATTGAAAGTAGAAAAAAAGTCTGCCCCTATGAAAACTATTTAATAATTTTAATAAGTTTCTCTTTAAAAAAAAGATATTTCCTTTTACCAAAAGCACACTGTTGTAGTCATAAACATTTTCACTTTATAAGAACCATCATATAAGAGCCATCAAAATTAGATGTGCAGGAAAAGTCATTCCATTGCTTCCTGTGCCTTGTGCTACACCCTGGAGCACTGCAGTATGCATCAGAGGTAAACATTCTCAAGTAATACTACAGGCAAACAGACTCATGGAAGTGGATTCCCTCAAATCTCTCTATGGCTCTCTGCAGGCACTCAATGACAGCTAAGGACCATGCAGGAAAAGACACAGACTGACGTCTGCTGGCCACCATTCTACTGGTGGTTTGAGTAAAGAACATTATACCTAGAAGATATGTTTCCAAAATAAGTGTATACTTGTTTCAGTGCATTTTTTTCTTCCCATCTTTATTTTAATGTTTAGGAAAGCTAAACTCATATATATTTTGATTATCTATAACGTTTGCTATTTTAGGGAGTTGGCTTATTATGTTATCTAAAACCACAGGAAATCTGAATGTGGATTAACCTTTATGATAGCAATGGGAATTTTTTCCCATTGTTTCATTTTATTTCTTACTTGTTCTTTTTTGTTTACGTAGCCATCCTATTAATAGACATTTTGTTCATTTCCCTTTTTCACTATTATAAAGAATGCTTTTGGGGAAATTTTTAATTAAGCATTATTTTTTTCTTCTCATGCTAAAAGAAGAGCTTAGAACAGAAAATATAGACCAAAAATGTGACTATTTAGAAGTATCTGCAATCCTACTTACTCTGAAATAATCATTGAACAGTTTGGTGGTGGTTATGCTGTGTGTGCACATGAGTATGTTCATACATGTGTCCTTTTCCTTCTGACTATGAATAAGCCAATGCATAAATTTATAAAAATTGGATGGTACTAAATATACTTTTTATAACATGCTTTTTTAAAAAAAATCCTATAAGGCTTTTAAAATATTCAAAACACTATCCATTTTCTAGCACTATCTTTACAAATGATTCCTTTTTTAAAAATCACCACAGAAAAGTATATTATAGCAGGCAAAGAAGACGTTTACTTGAACGTTATCCTTCTAGCATTTGAGAGAAACTAGAATGGATGAAGCCTAATGTACTCGATCCTGATGAGATAAAGTGAACCTTCCAGTATTTCAAGCCTTCATTGCAAAGTAAAATATGACCTATTCACTTCAAAAAAGTTATATGCTTAAGGAATTAAGGTGTCTGCAGCTGAAAGGAAAAATGTTATAGCCTTGCTTCTAAATGTTACACCAATTCCTTCTGTTTTAATTCTGCTGTCTCAGATAGTTAATTAACAAAGCCACTGTAGCAAGGGGTTTATCAATGATTTTATTGAGTCATCAATTTCTGAGCCATCTACTTCTGGTTTGTTTTAAAATCAAATGCAAGATACTTGGCTAATATACAATCACTATGGGCTAGAAACATAAAGAATAAGCCAATTATGGCCTTCTTTGATGTGCCTCTACTTTCATTTGAACCCCCTATTCTGCTAACAAAAGTTAGCATATTATTCATTAAAAGATATTTCTTAAACATTCTTCTATTATATCTGAAACACCACATCCTCAACTCCTCCTTTTGTATTAGCCGCCCATCAGCCATCAACCACCATCATCCAGCTAAAGTCAAAGACATAAACTTATACTTAAAGGTAAGCAAAACTGAAAAGAAGAAACAGAAGACTGTTGGTAATCTAATAGGAGCATGGTGTTTAAGTGACATAGTGAAGAACACATACGCATATGCCAGAAAACAAATCCATACTGAGTAAAAATCAGCTATAGAGATCCTATCAGACATATGACAAAGCTTGTTTAAGAAGGATGGAGGGAGCAATGACAGATGTTATTAGGTAAAGGAATGTGGTTTGGGAAAAGAATACGATGACTTCAAACTGGGAAGGATAACTAACAGAATGAACAACAGGATCAGCGTATAAAAAGAGCATAAAGGCCCAAATATAACAATGCAACAGAATTAAATAGGGATGCATTTGAAGTCCTGCCCTTTGTCTAAAACAGAAACATCTAATTGAGCAGCTACCAAGAGGGAGGGCGATGGTGCCTGAGCTGAGCACTTTTAATTAAGTGCATGAGGTGAGAACAATTGGATGTGGCAGCGAAAGAGTCTATGTAATCTAAAGTCACATTTATTGACAAATAATGCCCAGAATGACCAAAAAAAAAAAAAAAAGTATCTATGGTGCTCTGAGCTAACTGGATCATAGCAGAAATTTTTGTTTTCCTTTGTGCCACAAAATTAAAAAAAAAGAATGTTATAAGATAGAAGCTAGTCTAAAGAGGGTCACTAGAACAGCAAAAGAGATGCAATAGTGTAAGGGTAGTTAAGGAATAGAAAGCATAGGGAACAGGTGTAATGGTGACAGATACAAAAGAGTGATACATGAAAACGGAATTTCACTGGCCCCATGTGTGTCCAAGCTTCACAGTAGGAGCAACACTACTTGGAAATTTTAGGGAGGCAGAAGATTCAGTGAAAGCAAGACCATGCCAACAACACAAAACCAGCCAATAAGACATCGATACTGTCTGGGAGAATGGTGAGCTCTCTGCGTGAGCAGCAACAGGGGACACAGGCATTGGCCTTTGAAGGATCACATCATAGCTTGTTCTCTGCTGAACCAGAGGGCATTGGTGTCTTCTTTCAACTCAGAAATCTTGATTTAACAAGAAGTTTGTTTTCTTTTTCGTCTTCCTCTGTATTCACAATATACCTTCCTGTGAACTAATTAAACTTCTGTACCCTTCACCTCTCAACTTAAACTACTATATCATTAAAAATATGTTGACCAATTTAAGGTTTTGAAATATAAACAATATATGGCCAAAAGAGTTGGAAAACTTCCAAAAGCATCACACTATCGACCTACTTCCTTGTAGCTAGAGGAGTCTATTTAAAATAATGTGATTTCATGTGGACCTGTCAGGATCTAAAACACAAAATACTGGGTGGCATGCTTCCAAAGGGGAGTCTCTGGTATTGCCCCAGTGCAGTGCTCCCCACACCAAATGTGCATATGAATCAGCTGGGATCTGGCTAGAATGCAGATTGTGACCCAGCAGGTCTGGGGTAGGGTCCAAGAATCTGCATTTCTACCAGGCTCCCAGGTCACATTCATGCTGCTGCTTCATCACTCTTTGAGTATCAAGGTAAGGCATGTTTCCCATGAAGCATCATTGCAGAATGTTTATTATGACATCAATAATTACCTGGGCATTTCTTTGCTTTATATATTAACATTTCTACTGACACAGATCACAAAATTTCTATTCTCTTTTCTCTAAAAATTAAAATATATGATATAATAAAATGTTAAAAAAAAAATCAGCCAGCCAGTTTTTTCTTCCAGGTACTTAAAAGGATATAAAACCATTGACTTGGCCTTTGTATCTGTGAGAGGTTGGTTCCAGGACCCCCTGCAGATACCAAAAGCCATAGATATTCAAGTCCTTTATATAAAATGGCCTAGTATTTGCACAGGACCTACACACAGCCATATACTTTAAATGATCTCTAGATTACTTATAAAACGTAATATAATGCAAATGCTATGTAAATAATTGCTATACTGTACTATTTAGGGAATAACATGAAGGAAAAAAGTCTGTACATGTTCAGGAAAATCCTTGTTTCTTTTTTTCCTTTTTAAAATATTTTTGATTCTTGCTTGAATTCATGGGTTAAATCCATAGATTAGGAATGATTGTACTTAGAAGTATCAGTAGACAATTTCATCAAGATTAATAGTGAATGTTGTTAAATTTAGTTTATTTAGCATATGCAAATCAGTCTTTAATAAAAAAAAAATAACTACAATAGCTTTTTCCCCCCAGCACTAATATCGTCTGAGTTCAAATATAGTCTGAGATCCCTTTGAAGTACTATAAGCTGTTAGATGATAATGGGCCTGAGTACATGGTCCAAAAGGACTCAGACATTAGATGTCTTCAGGTTGTCTCTTAGACCAAACAATAAGGTATTGTAAGATATTTTAAGAATTCATATTCTTTAAATATGGTACAAATTTCTTCATGTATTCTCCAGCAAATATGAAAAAGTAACCAATGTCATTTAGACAAGGCTGTTTACTTCCTTTTACAGTAAAATTGGAATGCCATTTGTAGAGTTTTGAGCCACTATGCTAAATCTTTACACATGGTTATTGGGGAAGTTTGGATATTGTATAGTAGGAATTGCTCTTTTAATGTTGATATTCAGAATCTTGTCATGCAGGTCACTGTCCTGGACTGAGACATTGGCCTTCTATTCCCTTTGTCTGAAATGTTCTTTACTTGTGCCTCCTTCAAGTCTACACAAATGTCCACATGGAAAGCTCCCCTATCTAAAACTGTATTCTCTGCTGATACTTCTATTTCATTCCCTGACTTACTTTTCTCCTTGACTTATATCAATATCCAACATATAATATATTTTATCTATTTTTCTTGACTATTTTCTGTGTCCTCTGTGATTAGTTTTTATTCCAGGTGCAACAAATTATCTTAGTGACTTAACAAAACATTTTATTTTTCTTATAGTTCTGTAAGTTGAAAGTCTGACACAAATCAGGGCTAAAATCAAGGTGTTAGCAGGGTTGCATTCCTTTCTGGATGTTCTAGGGGAGACTCTGTTTCCTTGCCCAGACTGAGCATAGCATGCTTGGACCATCTAAGGAGATGGTGGGATAATGAAAAGTTATTGGGAGTCTTCAGACTTCAGTCTAGTCCAGGTTCTTTGATCAGTTTGGGCATATCCATTAATTTCTCCAAGCTCCCCGACAGCCTAAAGTGCATCATTCTCAGCCACAAGTTATTAAAAGATGTTAACAAATACTATAAATGGTACAGAAGTAAGACACCACATGCCTATTGTTTTTATTTCCTTAGGCAGTAATAGGATATGATTTGTCCAATGTATTGTCTTCATATAATACAAGTTTATAGCCAATATCATAGTAAAGATAATAGCATGCCTCTAATATTTATAGAATGATTTTGGTGAATTTTCAAAATGCAGCAGTTATAAGTTTCATCATTTATTTTTAGAATATTTCTGCAAGGAAATGAGATCCTCCGAGTTTATTGACAAAATTTATCAATTTTATTAAATTTTTAAAAACTGAGAAGTTGCCTGGAACTCATATGCTTATATTTATCCAAAGAATGAAAATCCAAAGATTTAAGATAAAATCTATTGTTTTAGAAAATCCATGATGCCAAGATTAGAAAAACAGTTTTTCCCCTCCAAGATTGATATAATTAAATATACTAAAAAGTAGGCCAAATAACAATAAGAAAACACTCTTAATATAGGTGTGGTTTGCTTCTCTGGGTCTATGACTATGTATGGATATTTAGAAACACTCAAGTGTTTGGCCACAATCAGGCTATTCATTGTCAGTCAACAGATATATGCGTTACAGTGAAAATTTAACTATTAATAAAATTGTTAATATAATTATCAAAATGTGGTCTTCAGATCAGCAGCATGAGAATCATCTGAGGGTATAATAGAAGCACAAAACTAGGGTTTCTAGTGCAGATCTACAGAATCGAAAACTTGGGCTAAGGAGCCCAGTAATGTGTGTTTCTTTGCCCTTTTCCCGTGATTCTGATGCTCACTAGTGAATGTGCTTTTATTTTCTTACTCTAAAATGTCATTCCTTACTTCTTGTTTGATGGTGTGTATGGAAAAGCACAACTATTTCTTAAAAGGTAAAAATCTGAGTCAGCAATCACAGCTAAGTCACATCTAAAAATCATGTGGGCAGATTTTGAAAACAGTAGACATTTCAATCAGCTAAAAACGTGACAGATCCTCCCCTGCAACCCAAATTTAAAAGTTTTATTTCTTCTCCAACAGTTTGTATAAATAACTCATGCAAAATAAGCATTGTATGTATATTAAGAAATGCTTTTCACATATTAATTGAAATCTCTCCTATTTTTTTTTATTGGAATTCTTCTCTCTCTTATATTTTAGACATATTTTCCAGGGATTGATTTTCTCTCTCAACTGGAATTTTGTTGGAAGCACAAAAATGCAAAAATAAACAAAACAAGCAAGCAAATAATATTCTTATCTGATCAACTATATTTTTAAAATCCTTGAGCCTTAAAATATGGATATTTCCCCCTGTGAGTTAAATGAGCATAAAACAAATATATTGTATTGCATATAGTTTCATTTTATTAACTGGAAAAACCATTTTACCTGCATGATAATTGTTCTAATAAAGGGGAAGCCAAAGTGCTAAGAGAGCCCCAAGGATGTGGCAGTTAATTCTTCCTGGAGAACAAGGGACAGTGTCTTAGATGAGGTACTGTTTCAGCTGGGTTTTGGAAGGTCAGTTTCCAGGGAAGGGAATGGGGTTAAGGACTCTCTCCACAAGAGCAGAACAGTATGTGCACATGAGCACCCCATCACCAAGGGGCCTTTTGGGGTGAATCTGCAACTGAAAGAGTTACACCATGCAGGACTTCTTGAGTTAAGGTGTTTGGGTTATCTATAGGCAATGAGACTGTAGGCTGTGGATTTACATATCACAATCTCTTGTTATGAAGATGAGTTCTGGCCCATAAATTGAATCATACAAAGACTGTTGTCAGGAAATTCTGGCAATTTCTAGCTTGAGAAAAGGCAGGGTCAAAGCAATAGTAGCATTGATGAGGCCTGGGACTGAGAGACATTTGGGCCTGGTTTGAATGGGATGGTTCTCTAAGTGAAATTCTCTAAGTGAAGGTCCATGAACCTTTACAGCACTGGAGTCATGGGAGACCTTAAAAAGTACAGTCATCTAGGTCCTGTCCCCAGAAAAACCAATGTCATTGGCATGGGTGTCTGGTCCATGTATCAGATTTTAAAAGTTCTCAGATGATTTAAAGAGTGAGAATTAGTTCTGGAAAATACATGTAGAGGCTTTTTAAATTTGATAGTATAAGTTTAAATTTCATTCTGTTGATTTGCCCAACAATGTGTTGTGATTCTAAAGAAATCAAATCTTTACCTGCAAGATGCAAAAAAAAAAAAAAAATGAGATAATATGTGTGAAAGTACATCAAGCTGATACTTATTTGGGCCATATGATCAGCATCACTGTTTCAAAATTTTCCTAAAGGGAGTAAATACTTACATAAATCACTGGAAAAATACAACAAAGTAGCATAGTTTCTTCCCTTTTAGCTTTAACATGTGGGCTATAAAACTGTCATAAACACTATCTGCCACAACTTATAATAAATATTTTTATTTTATACAATAGGAGCCAATATACTTCTAAAAGGCATCAGAGGAGCTATAAATGCAAAGATTCTATAAATACCTGAACAATATCAGCACATGTGACCTGTTGATATAGTAAAATAATAGAACATTGTTTGGGCTGGGCTATGCTGAAGAAATTGATCTCTTTCCAGCCTTAAAGACTACTGACTGGAACTTGGCAGCAGAAAAATCTGGGCAGATGTGTAACCAAAGTGCTTTGAAATAATTATAGTGTCTAAAACAAGGAATAGAAATATTTTTCAAGGTGTGGATGAAAATATAATTTTAAAACTCATGAAGAGAAAGAAGCCATGGAGAAAAAGAAGAAAAAAAATGTTGGGAGTGAAAAGAGGAAAATATAAAAGAGAGGAAATATCAAAGTAAAAGGCTAAGTGGATTAAATTTTGAAATAGTAAGGTTGCAAAAAAAACCAAAACAATAGATCATGGACATGGTAATTTGGATACACAAATATGGAGTATATCAAATACATACACAGTTCTATCTGTAATGTATGAGAGTAGAAAGAGTAGTTTTAGCTACTTTGAATAATTTCAACATGATTGTTGGAACTACCCAGGTCTAATTCCAATTAAGATTTCTTAGCTCTATGCATTTACAATATTTAACTCCTCCAACTTTTTCCAAATCTCTAAGCTTCTGTGGCCCATTTTTTTATTTTATTCAACTGACCCTTTATAGAATTTTTAAAAGGCTTTCTTTTCTCTTTAATACGAGATTTACTGTATACCTTCAGCACTGCCTGACACCATGGAAAAACACAGATAATCTGTATGTCTATATTCCTTGTGAATGAACTAAATCTAATGTTTACCACCATAAATTTGGTCCATCCTACATGAAGATGTCATTTTTAAATATAATATTGCTTCATATGTTATGACAAATATATACTTGGTATATAAACCATTTGGTAAGCTACAGTAAGACCCACCCCGAATTTAAGCAGGCTTATCTGAAGTTTACAGAAGATTTAATGCAATTTACTGAATGGCTAAATATACATGTATGGGTGTGTGTCTGTGTGCATGCATACATTTTACTGATTGGTGAAGACAAAAGCTATGATAGGACATGAGGATAAACACTGTTGGCTGGAATAATCCACGTATTACAGAGAATCAGGGTTCTGAAGACCAAACTAGGACAAAGGGCACAGGAAAAGAAGATGAAATTTCCAGAAAACAAGCTTTGATAGTTTTGGTCAAACCCCAACCTGTCTAGCTATCATCTACATTTTGTATGAGCATAAAGTTTATATTTCAAATAGAAGCTTCCAATTATTAATTAGGAAAAAAAGTTTATATGTGGAATGTCATTACTAGGTTCAATTATCTACTGAGTAGACCAAAGTAATGCAATTATTAAAAAGACTATGTCCTCAGAAATAAACTATTCATGCCTCCAAACTCTTCTAATTTTGTAATTTGAAAACATTAATAGGATTTGGCCATCTTTAATTGTGTTGATAATTCCTGTTCTTTTTTATTTTTTTATTTTATTTTATTTATTTTAATTTTTTTTTGTTTATACCTCCAAGGTTCTGCTTGATTTTTTTATTTTTTTTTTATTTCTTTTATTTTTTGATAATTCCTGTTCTTTTTTATTTTTTTATTTTATTTTATTTATTTTAATTTTTTTTTGTTTATACCTCCAAGGTTCTGCTTGATTTTTTTATTTTTTTTTTATTTCTTTTATTTTTTGATAATTCCTGTTCTTTATTCCTCAAGGCTAGTTGAAATTTATATGCCTTTATATTAATTTTTTCTGACCATCTGTGGTTTCTTAAAAGTAAAGAAGTTTCATAATTATGGAGAAAACTTTAGGTAAAACTTTACAGAATGCTTTATAATTTATATGAGATTTTTCTTTAGTTTTTGACAATTATCACTTTTATATATAACTATTCAGTAAACAGATGGCCTTCAACCACTTCTCTGACATGCTAAAAGAAAACTTCCATTTTCTTTTATTTTACATTTTTATTTCAATATTTTATTTAAAAATGCAATGCTATACCATTACTATAAAATTAAGAAAAGTTGTTTGATAAACATGATCCTTCTTTTTCAAAATGGGAACACTTATTTACCATCTAAGCTATTATATTCACCTAGATATTTTTCAGTGTTGATTTCACCAAAAAACATATAGTATATAATCTACATTTTCCTATTACAGGGAAGTGATCCCTAATGAAAATGAGGATAGAGTGCTCAAAATGGGGTCAGATTATCCTAGTTCTCCTGATTTTCCATTGTTGAAATAAAATCCCAGGTGAAAGGTAACAGGTCTTGTTAGTTGGTAGGTAGGTTTCATAGAATAAGCCAAATTACCTTCTAGGATATTTTGCAGAAAAATTCTGGAGCTCTAAAATTTACTTAGCACGAAAACTGGCATCAAGAGTAGTGCCCAGTTACTATGGGAGTAACCAAGGACCGTAAAGTTCTTAGGCTTTAGCCTCTACTGTGAGAAAGCTTGGAGAGTATTTACAAGGACAGAGAGGACTGAGGGAAGAGCCCAATTCACTTGAGCTCCAGGCCTGCACTGCATTCCCAAGAGTTTATTGAATATCTCTACTTGGTTAACCTCAGATTTCACAGACCTTGCTTCTCCAAATTGAACACATCATTTCACCCCCAAACTACTTCCTTTCCCTGGCCCCCAAGCTCAGTGAATGACCCACTATTCATCTAGTTTTTCAAGGCGTCTATGTGTCCCTCAATCTCATACCTAATGAATCTCAAGTTCCCACTGATTCTATTTCCTAAATATCTATTACCTAAATCTTTTCACATCACTCCATCCCTGCCTTGCTGTTAGTCCAAGCTATGAGCACTTGTTGTCTGAATCATTTCAGCAATGTCCCCGCTGTCTCCCTTCCTCCAGCTTTGTCCTTCCCCATTCTAGTCTCTACAGTGCAAATTCCAGAACCTTAAAGGCTTCCCATTTCCCAGAATCCTTAACATTGCTAGGAAGGCCACCACTGCTTTCTGTTCCCTATATTCTCTGCAGCTTCATCTGCTATTATCCTCCAGACCCTCTGCAACTGACCCCTGCACCCCAAGCCCTACCATATGGAATTGAGTTCAGTAATGAGATGGTGTCAAGAACTCTCTACCTTTGAACATCGCATATGTTCTTCTTTCTGCCTGCTCTGTCCATCATCTGGCTGATTTATATTCATAGACTTTAGTGCCTCTTCTGTGAACCATTCTTGACCACCCCCATGCAAGTGCCCTTAAGTCCAGGAGAGCTGCTCACAGATAGCATACGGAATGCTGTGTCATCCTGAAAGTTAGTACACTTCACTGTAATTGCCATTTTCTTATTTAGCTTTGCTATCGGACCTCTGGCTTCATAAGAATCATGGCTGTGGCTGCCTTGCTCACTTGTAACAATCCCAGCCCATGAGAGTGAGAAGCCCATGATAGGTGCTCCAGAAATATTTGTTAAATAAATGAATCTGCATACAGTTATGTGCAGAGTTCAGATTTCTGTTTATGCCCTTAGCTATCTCATCAAAGTACTGCAGGAAATAGTACATGATAATTAGCTGTCAGCTTATTACAAAGAACCTCCCTGCTATATAGATCCATTCTCTCCCCACCCCCCCAAAATCCCAATCACTAGTTAGATTTAAATCTATTTGACTCCAGTTCTGTCAGCCTTGGTAAGATCTGTAGCAACCCCCATTGTATTTAAGAAGAGAATTAAATTACTAATATTGGTCTACCCATTTCTCCAAGAAAATGAAATTACTTCTCTACAGAATTAAAACACCATTTCCTTGAACTGATGAAGAAGCCAATTTTCTTTTGTGTTTCCTGCCTCAAAAAAGAATATATGTCTAGACAGAATATTAGTGAAGTTTTTCCATGAGATACCCTTTTCTGCTAGAACTAACTCCATTATTCCTATAAAATTATGTAAATAGCTCAATTGCACCTCTCTGCTTCTTAATTAAAAAAAAACACATAAAATAATAAAACCAGGTGGAAAAAAATCTAATCCATATTTCCTAACATTGGGTTTTGCTAACACAAACACACAAACTATAGATTTCTGTACCCTTCCCCAAATTTCTAAATATTGTCAAATTCATTTCAAGAAGAGTAGAACTGGTTTTGTCAGCCTACATTTGTCCTGTGCTATTCTTTGCATCAGTGGGTCTCAGAGTATAGCACACATCAGAATCACCTGGAGGTCTTTTAAAAATGCAGGTTGTTGGGCCTTCCCCCAGAGTTTCTGATTCATTAGGCCTGAGATGGGACCAGAGAATTTGCATTTCTAACAAGCTCCCAGGTGATGCTGATGCTGCTGGTCTGGGAACCACACTTTGAGATGTGACGTATACATGCAACTTGTGGAGAAGCACATTTTGTTTCTGTGTAGTTATATTGGGCATTTTGACACGTACTGTCCTATCCTTCCCTCCCTTTTATCTTTAGTCATTAGTATATAATTCAGTATTACTGCCTAAATACGTAAAGCATGTATTCTATGCTGGAATTTAACAGCACAAGGATACATACATCACTTTCTCAAAAAGAGGTCTATTTCTACAAGTTTAAAAAAATTAAATGGAAAAAAAAAAAAAAACCTAAAAATTTGCTCTAAGGGGGTTTTGCTTTCAACAGCAAACATGTTTTGCCTCAGTCGTGATTTCTTTGTTCAGGAGCCAAGCTGGCAATTAAGCTGGCACAGGAGTAGGAGCCATTTGTTTAATATGATGATAGTGTAGCCCTTTGTAAATCCTGGAACAATGAGGGCCCACACATAAGCTCATTCGAAGTTCTAGTTCCTTCTTTCCCTACTGCTCATTGTGAATTCTTATAGCCACAAAGGAAGGGAAAGATTTTCAATGCTGCCACATCCTCCCTCATTTAAACCATTTATAGCCTTAACTTATAGGAGCAATCTTAAGTAAACTTCTTTAAACACATTGTAGCAGGGATTATCAAGTCCACTAACAAACTAGCAGTTTTTGAAATCTCTTTTGTTCCAAAGGCTCTCCATTAATCTCTATGTTCCTCTGTCATTATCACTGTGCTGAGAAAAGCAAGTTGAAAATCCAGTCTTGACTCGGGTTTGGTAGTAGGGTTATTTTGTATCTTATAGGTTTATTTCAATCTTCTTAGGAAGTTCTAATTCTCATCAGTTTTGGCATAAGCTAAGTCATGTCAGAGGTCTCAGAATTTAAAGAAAGTGATGCCTGTAGTAACAGCTTCTGAAGAAATAAGATACAACCATATTGTGACAATTGC